TCCACGTCGACGTACATGGAAATCATGTCGGCGATGGTCTTGTTGAGTCTTTCCGTCAGCCCGTTGGTCTGAGGGTGGTACGCCGTGGTGCGACGATGGCTGGTGTGGCTGAGACGAAGGACATCTTGTGTCAGCTGGGCCATGAACGAGGATCCACGGTCTGAGATCAGGACCTCGGGAGCGCCGTGCCGGAGGACAATGGATTCAATGAAAAACTTGGCAACTTCCACAGCAGTTCCGAAAGGAAGGGCTTTCGTTTCGGCGTATCGCGTGAGATAATCTGTGGCGACGATGATCCAGCGATTTCCTGACGTCGACGGCGGAAAAGGGCCAAGTAGATCCATTCCGATCTGCTGGAAGGGTGCCGTTGGCGGAGGAATTGACTGCAAGAGTCCGGCCGGCCTCGTTGGAGGTTTCTTTCGTCGCTGGCATTCATGGCATGATCGTGTGTATAGGTGGACGGTTTTGGGGAGCTTGGGCCAGTAATACTTTTCACGAATACGGGCCAGTGTCCGGCTGTAACCAAGGTGTCCGGACGTTGGGTCGTCGTGGCAGGCTTGGAAGATCTCCTCTCGAAGGTCGGTCGGGATTACCAGCAGCCACGTGGAGTTGTTGTTGCCGAAGTTCTCTTTGTAGAGAACTCCTTGTCTAATGGCGAAGGTCGGCAGGGTTCGTGAAAAAACGCGTGGTATGGCACTCCCACGCCCTTCCAGGTACTCTATTAGTGCGCGCAGCTCAGGATCGTCTCGTTGACGTCGGGCCATGTCGTCGCTGTTCACTGCGCCCAGGAAACACTCGTCGTCATCGTCGTCGTTGCTGTCGGAGGGTGTTTCTACGGGAGCTCTGGACAGGCAGTCGGCGTCGCTGTGCCTGCGGCCTGACTTGTAGACTACTGTCATGTTGAACTCTTGTAGTCGGAGACTCCATCGCGCAAGGCGTCCTGACGGGTCCTTGATGTTCGCAAGCCAGCAGAGCGAATGGTGGTCCGTGACTACGCGGAACGGACTTCCATATAAGTACGGACGAAACTTCGTGATCGCCCAGACGACCGCAAGGCATTCTTTTTCAGTCGTGGAGTAATTTCGCTCCGCCTTGGACAATGTCCGACTTGCGTAGGCGATGACTCGCTCGGTGCCCTCTTGTACTTGAACCAGTACCGCGCCAAGTCCTGCGTTGCTTGCGTCTGTGTGAATCTCGGTTTCCGCATCCTGGTCAAAATGTCCAAGAAGAGGAGGCGCCTGCAGTCGTCGCTTCAGCTCGTCAAATGCCTGCTGCTGCTCCTCGGCCCATTCGAACTTCTCGGCGTCCTTCGTGAGGTTTGTGAGCGGTGCGGAAATCCTTGCGAAATCTCGAACGAAGCGCCGATAGTAGGCACATAGCCCAAGGAACCTTCGCACGGCCTTCTTGTCCGTCGGCGCTGGAAATGCTGCGACGGCGCGAGTCTTCTCTGGGTCGGGGCGAACGCCTTCATTACTGACCACGTGACCTAGGAACTTCAGCTCGTCATAGGCGAACCGACACTTTGACGGCTTCAGGGTGAGTCCGGCGGTCCGTATGGCTTGGAGAACAGCTCGTAGTCGTCGCAGGTGCTCGGCGAAGTCGCTGGAAAACACTACGACGTCGTCGAGGTAGACGAGACAGCTCTGCCACTTCAGTCCTGCCAGTACGGTGTCCATGACACGCTGGAAAGTTGCTGGCGCCGTGCACAGTCCGAAGGGCATCACCTTGAACTCGTACAGCCCATCCGGCGTAACGAAAGCTGTCTTCTCTCGGTCCCGTTCGTCGACTTCGATCTGCCAGTAGCCGCTCTTCAGGTCCATCGATGAAAAGTATCGGGAGTGGCGCAGCCGATCTAACGTGTCGTCGATGCGGGGGAGTGGATAGACGTCTTTCTTCGTCACCGCGTTCAGCTGCCGGTAGTCCACGCAGAACCTAAGCGTTCCGTCCTTCTTCTTAACCAGTACGACTGGAGAGGCCCAGGGACTGCTTGCCGCGCCCAGGGCTGAGAAAGCAACGCTCGGTCACGAACCTCCAGAAAGTTCTCGTTTATTCATGTACCGCACGTAGCTTCTATCATTTATTCCTGATTTCCTCCCGCACGACATCCCGGATAATCTCGCGGAGGTCCGGGCTGTTGTAGCTGGAAGTCGAGAGGGCAGCGACGCCGGGAAGTCGCTGGTAATGGGAGGCCCGTGCTTGAAGGGCACGTTCAATGTTCGTTGCCTCCGTGATGAATCCTTCGACTGTGATAGGCGGGGCTCGCACAAGGCCGCCGAAGATGTTTTCCTTGACGCCTCGCATCAGGATTCTCAGCTTCTTTGCTTCGGAGGCTTGAGGATCGGCGCGGTTGCTGAGTCGCAGGACATCCTCCACGAAGCTAACGACGCTCTCGTTGGGTCCTTGGATCCTCGTTTGTAGAAGTTCTTCCGCGTGTTCTCTTCGTTGTTGGTTCGAGAATGTTCTTCGCAACTCAGCCTTGAGTTGCTCCCAGGAAGTGATCGATGCTTCGTGGTTCTCGAACCAATTCCGGGCGGTTGCTTCCAAGGCAAAGTAGGCATTTTGAAGACACTGTTCTGGTGTCCACCCGTTATGACGGGCCACTCGTTCGTACTGTTGGACCCAGTCCTCGATGTCCTCGTGTGCGTCTCCGTGGAACGGCGTCGGAGTTTTGGGTGCGACGGGCAGGTATACGACGGCAGGAGCAGCCGGGGCCTGCGCCTGGTCGGCCATCGTCGTCTTCTTCGGCTTGGGCTTGTCCAGTAGCAAACCGTATTCAGGATCCTCTCCCTTGATGCGCCGGCTGGTCCGAGTTTCGGGTTCCGCGGGGAGTGGTCTTCTCACTGGGCTTGGTACCGGGCTTGCACTGCGGGATCTTGGAGGGGAACGCTGTACAGGCATGCGGTACCCCGCACCTCCACCAAAATGTCACGGGTGGTGACCAGAATAACAATAAATAAACAGGAAGAGCTAAACGTTTAATGTGGCGAACTTGTGCCAAAACAAAAAGAGAATAGAAAATAATAACAAAGCGTCGCGAGCGTCGAGGTCGGCGAGACAGCAGAGTCGAGCGCTGGGGCGAAACTGACTCGACAAGGTCGCGGGCGGCCTCTTATCTAGAGTGCGTCGCTATCTCGAAGATTCGGCGAAAGCGGCTCGAGCGTCGCGTGATCGGGCGAGAATGAACACGCACTTTCTAGAAAACAAAATCAGGAATAAATGATAGAAGCTACGTGCGGTACATGAATAAACGAGAACTTTCTGGAGGTTCGTGACCGAGCGTTGCTTTCTCAGCCCTGGGCGCGGCAATATATATATAGCATCTGATCGCCATGATTGTTAAATAATTAAATTAGGCACAGCCAAATCATATCTTTTCTTCTATCTGGTAAGATATTTAACACACTGTTTTCTTGCTTCGCTTAAGCACTTTCGTCAAGCGGATGTCATTTTGTAAAGATATACATACAATCACATTTTTTTTTTAACCCGTGAAACAATTTTGGGTTTTCGGCTAACCTCAGAAATTCAGAGTTTGTAGTAGAGACAGCGAATCGTTCACAGTCCCCCAAAGCAACAGATGTACAATATGAGTATCTTGCGGTAGGCCAGATAGAGAATATGACTTGGACACAGGTTTAAAAATATCTAACCTGATCCTGGCGGCATCCGGGGCAACGTATAATGCATGCAGAATACAGTGGGCGTAATCTACGTATTTGTTTTTTTAATTTTTAAAGGAGCATCAGGTGTCAACCTAACCAAATGGTCTGATGATATCAAAGTTAATTGTGCTTACCGGACCCCTTTTGTATTCTACAGAACCACTATAATTAACTGGTCGTAAAGATGCTGCAAAGCGGTACCAAAAGTGCAGTATTGCAATGTCAAATCAATCAGCCCACACGCATCCAGCCGGCGAACAAACAGTAGAGGAAGTCAAAGGTTACTCACACAAAATGGCGGTAAAGAAAAAAAAGTGGGCTTACTGCATTTGAGAAGCGCAAAACTAAAATACATAGGGACTTCAAGGAGCGTACAAAGTCCCAAGGTTGCACACCTTGTTGGCTTGACATTGCCTTTCCAACCTTCTCGGTGGCGCCGTCAGTTTTTTCACAGCTGAAGTCCGCCAACATCTTGACATTTTGTCTTTGTTTTTATATAGGATGTTTTATTCAGGAAAAGGGGGGGGGGGGGTGGAGTACTGTTTTGCAAAAAGTAAAAAGCAAAACATTCAAGAAAAAGCGACTTAGGCTATTAGCTAGTGGTGTACACCTCCGCACCGACTTCCTTAACCAAGCGGTGGTGCACACATACGGACAATACATATATTTGTTTAATTATTATTTAGCTATCTTCACGTCACTGCTGTTAATGTAAGTAAGACTGCGCCACTGGCGTTTCCCTTCACGGTTGATAAAATCGTGTTCGCACCGCTAACCGGAAATACAAGCCCGACTCAATACCTGATCGCACCTAACCTATTTCCAATAAAAACCTTAACCTTCACGCGACATTATGGTTTCGGTGCGGCTCGAATTCAGTATACGATGTTGGATTTTGAATAAGGTTGTCTTCGGGGTTGGACAGATATGACGGTTGCGATTCGATTTATAACTGAGGTTTGATGCCTCGAGCCCTTTATTAAAAAGAAATTTAATAGAATCTTGTTTTTTTTTATTTACACTATTCGGGTATTAATTGTTTTATATTCCGCTGCACATTTGATGCTAACAAACTGTCCAGAGATTAAATCTTCTGATATAAAACTGTTAGCAACGAGCCTATTCAAAAGAAACTATTGTTCGAAAGTTGCTTAAAAAAATAAAAAAAGAACGAAACCCAGCCAATCTAAAAATGCTGTAAATTCAGTATAATCACTAGTTTTGTACGTTATATCTTTTCCGTACGCAAAGACGACAATTTAATCTTAAATATATTCGCAGGCAATATTCGTTTTTTTTTTCGTTAATTTTTCTATACACATGAACTTTTTGTTTCAGTCTCGAATGGCTGTCTACTTCAATCACAACCCCTCGGGAACCTCCGTCAACGATATTCTTCATTTAGCTCAGGTAAGCCTCTCACACGCATTTTTAACACTGCCACAATAAAAAAGGTATATATATATATATATATATATATATATATATAATGTTACGAAGACGACGACGACGGACACTGTCGCGAAAGACGAAAAGGATCCCGCGCAGTTGTGTTGCACGAGCTGGGGGCTTTTTCAGGCATATTTGTAGCACCCATCGCTGTTGTTCTTTAACAGATCACCCTCAAATATTTATATCATATTCACCCTCACAAGTGGTGGAGGTTAGGACCATCCCCATCCTCTCTTGTCCTGGAGCTCCGCAGCGGGCGATCAACGCAGGCCACCATGCCCGACGAGACCGGGAACGCCACCCAACAACGCGCACCCGCCCCTCCGACCGTCAAAAATTGAACATTGAGACTTACCAGTTTTCAGCGGGGCGCCAGAAGCTGACGTCAACGACTGGCTCAAAAGTTATGATCGGGCAGGTCAACATAACAGGTGGGACGACAGCTTCAAGCTAGCAAATGTAGTATTTTTTTAAAAAGATACCGCTCTACAGTGGTTCGATCACCACGAAGACGAGATCGATTCGTGGGAGGGATTCCAGACGGCTTTCGCGGAAGTCTTCTAAAAGCCAGAAAGTCGCAAGCGACAGGCCAAAGATAAACTTGCCAGAAGGTACCAATCCCTAACAGAATCATCTACTACCTACATTGAGGACGTCCTTCGCCTGTGCCGACAATGACATGAAAGAAGAGGGCAGAATCCGGCACCTATTTAAAGGACTGTCACATGACCTTTTCTCGGTCGTCGCTCCGAAGTCGCCTCCGACTGTCCAACAGCTCATTACGGAGTGCAAAAGATACGAAGAGCTACAAAGTGCACGCATCATGAAACTTCCATTCGAGCGTCTCCCCGAGGTGTGCACAAACAACGCAACGCCATCGGAGCTTGCTGAGCTAAGTCAAATTTGGGGGTTTTACGTGCCAAACCAACGGCGGGCATCTGGCACGCCCCAGCGGACGACTGAGGATTAATTTCGACTGAGGATTAATTTCGTGTAACCGAAAGCTCGGTTACACGGCGTCTTCTCCGCAATAAGCCTCCGTCAGATTGCGGGCACCTCGGCCGGGATTCGAACCCGCCACATAGGCCGACGTAGGCCGACGTAGGCCGACGCTCTCGCCTCGGAGCCACCGAAGTGGCTGTTCCTGAGCCAATTCGTCAGATCATCCGCCAGGAGCTACAGGCATACTTAGCCCCACTGCACGCCCCGGACTCCTTGTACCACCCCTATCCGCCGTCATCGTCGAGCTGAGGCCCGAGCCACCCATCACAGGAACCTACGCACTAGTCGAACCTTCCGAAAGACTATTTCTGAAGAAAAAGGTTGCCGTTCCTATTCCCTTGTGTCCATAGTGGAAGGCCACGTTCCTGTTTGCCTTGCTAACACCTCTCCCGAGCCGCAAATACTTCCACGAAACACTCAAGTAGCAACTATAAACCGATATGAAGAACACATCGTTGCCCCTCTTCACACAGACGTATCGTCAACTGGTTGTCCCCAGACATCTGCACGCCGCACTAGCGACATGATAAAAACAATGGTGGATGCCGATTTACCTGCCGAGAAGCACTACTCTTTGGTCACCCTTCTCTCAGCATATTCCGATTTATTCGACTTCGACAGCTGAGTTCTCGCTCAAACGTCCGTATGGCACCATCGTATCGGTACCGGAGATGCATCTCCAGTGAAAAGCAGACCTTATCGAATCTCACTCATGGAGCGTAAAACCATCCAACAGCATGTCACCGAATGTTGGAGAACAACATAATTGAGCCCTCCTTCAGCCCTTGGTCATCTCCCGTCGTTCTCGTTAAAAAGAAGGATGCCCCGTGGCGCTTCTGCGTGGACTACCGCCGTCTTAACAAGTTGACCAAGAAAGATGTTTACCCGCTGCCAAGGATCGACGACATCTTAGACGCACTGCAAGGTTCAACATTTTTTTCATCAATGAATTTCCGAAGCGGCTACTGGCAGATAACTGTCGCTCAAGCTGATAAAGCGAAAACAGCCTTCATTACAACTGACGGCTTTATCAGTTTAACGCAATGCCGTTTGGTCTCTGCAACGCCCCCGCAACCTTTGAAAGGATGATGGACACGTTGCTCCGCGGCCTCACTTGGAATGTATGCCTGTGCTACTTGACGGTGTCGTCGTCTTTTCAGGGACGTTTAATGAACATTTGCACCGCCTCAAACAAGTGTTTGATTGCTTCCGGTCCGCCCGCCTACAGCTAAACACCAAGAAATGCACATTTGGAACTCGGCAACTAAAAGTACTTGGGCATCTAGTAAGCACTGATGGTATTCGCCCGGGTCCTGACGAACTTCGAGCCGTTTCAGAATTTCCTACCCCGAACGTTCAAAAGGACGTCCGCGTCCGTGCTTTTCTTGGATTATGCACTTATTTCCGCAAGTTCATTCCTGGCTTTGCTCACGTTGCTGAAACTCTTAATCGGCTCCTTCGCACCAACACCAAATTCGAATGCGGCCCATCACAAAACCAGGCGTTTGGATCCCTAAAATTGACTTTGACAAGCAGTTCCATCCTCGGTCACTTTACCCAAGGAGCCGAAACCGAGATACGCACCGACGCAAGTGGACACGGCAACGGAGCAGTCTTGGCTCAGAATTCTAGAGGCACCCAACAGGTTATCGCATACGCAAGTCGCACCCTCACACCAGGTGAGCGAAATTATATTATCACTGAACGGGAATGTCTGGATGTTATATGGGCCATATCAAAGTTCCGTCCCTATCTCTATGGCATTCATTTTTGCATAGTGACCGACCACCATGCCCTCTGCTGCTCGCCAGTCTTAAAGACTCGTCAGGCCGCCTCAGAAGATGGCCTCTCAAACTTCAAGATTACAACTTCACCGTCCTCTACAAATCAGGAAAAAGACACCTGGATGCCGACGGCTTGTCCCGGTGCCCCTTCTAGCAGCCTCTCCTCTCCAAGACTCACGCATTTCCCTCGCAACGGCTCCTCTGACCCATGTTGACATTGCCTCAGTCCAGATGGCTGATCCTTTCCTTAAGCCAATAATTGAATATCTGCGTGGAACAAACCCACATCCCCCTCAACGCACAGCACGCATAGCGCCTCTATTTGGGCTTCACAACGGGACGACGTAATTCAGGCAAAACTATGAACCGCAAGGACGTCCCTGGCTTCTTGTCATTCCCCGTTCCCTTCAAAACAACATTATTCGGGCTAATCATGACGACCCAACTTCCGGGCATCTATTTCCGAGTTCGAGCCAGTTACTTCTGGAACGGAATGTATCGCGCTATCAACAAATACGTCCGATCATGTCACGACTGCCAAACAAGAAAACACCCAACGACAAAACCACCCGGAACACTTCACTCGCTTTCACCACCTAGCCACTCCTTCCAAAGAATTGGAATTGACTTGGGCCCATTTCCAACGCCTGCAAGCAACAATCGATGGGTCATTGTAGCCCTTGACTACAATACCCGCTATGCTGAAACTAAGCCAGTTCCTGATGCTACCGCAAGAGAGGTTGCGAACTTCTTTCTGGACTCCATTCTGCTACGCCATGGCGCTCCACAGTCAGTCACGAGTGACCGAGGCACGCCCTTTATTGCCAAACTTCTCAATGAAGTCCTGCATCTCGCAAGTACAGTCCATCATGTAACAACTGCTTACCACCCGCAGGAGAATGGGCTCACCGAGCGACAGAACGATACACTAGCAAGCATGATGTCAATGTATGTTGAAAAAAACCACACCAACTGGGACGCAATCCTTCCTTTTGTCATTTACGCGTACAATACCGCCCGACAAACAACTACAGGATTTTCGCCGTATTATCTTTGATACGCTCGTGATCCACTCATGACTCTTGACACTGTTTTGTCATACGTGGAAAATTGTTCGGATCCCTACACATCTCACGTCGTGTCCCGAGCCCAAGATGCCCGCCAACTTGCCCGACTGCAAGCTCTGCAGTCCCAATAACAACAACACCTTCGCCATGCGGATACTCAGATACCAGTCTATTATAATATTGGTGATCTCGTCTTGCTCAAGACACCATTTCGCCAAACCGGCAAATGCGAAAAGCTCCTAAAAAGATTCGTTGGGCCGTATCGCAGTGTTCGTTGCCTTTTCGACATCAATTACGAGATGGTGCCCGTGACCAAGCCCCGCGACCATCGCTCGAGGTGCCAGGACATCGTTCACGTGGAATGTATGAAACCGTACTTCCGCTCAACCTAACCAACACCCAGTGCCGGATGACCGGCCCTACCACCACAGGGGGAAAATGTTACGAAGACGATGACTACGGACACTGTCGTGAAAGAGGAAAAGGAGCCCGCGCAGTTGTGTTGCACGAGCTGGGGGTTTTCTTCAGGCATATTTGTAGCAGCCATGCTGTTGTTCTTTGACAGATCACCCTCAAATATATATATCGTATTCACCCTCACAATATATATATATATATAACTGAGAAGAAAAACCTTCAGTGAAAACAGCAACAACGGACGATTTATTCTTTGACGTTTCGGCCGGAGTCCGTCCTTCGTCAGGAAGCCCTTTAGCATATTATATATATATATATATATATATATATATATGGCGTAGTTGTAAGCTTCCCATATTTGTTATAAAAATATTGGTGAAAGCTAAACTTATGCAGTTTGTTCAGGTGAGTTGTAAGGCCAGTTGGACATGGTATATGGGGCTAATCATAACGGTCAATCGGGTAATTAATTGAAAATTTGTTAATTAACTTTTGAATTAGTGAAAAGAGTCTTCTTGTTTCAATTAAAATTTGCTGGACGTTGTCCTAAACTCCTAAATCAATAATTTTTGGAAATAGTTTGAGCGCGTGAGAAGCGCAGTAGTGCGCGAAAGTTACCACTCGTGGAGTAGGCACAAAGCTGGGGCTAGATAAGAGACGGAAAAATCGAGCGGGATCCTTACCGCAA